TCCGTTGACAGTGTAGGTCACCTCGCCGGCATAATGGACCAAGCGGAACTCATCGCGTCCCATTACCTTTTGCACCTGAATCGGAGCCTTCTCGTGGCACACATAATGGTGATGATCGGCCAGCTTCTGCGTGAGCTTCTCGAGGAAGGTGCGATCTGTGGGCTCGCCGGGACGCAGGCATTCCTCGTCTAGTATGGAAATAATGCCCTTATGCTTCTCCTCAATCAAATTGCAGATGACCTTGTTGTCGAAATACTCCACGGGAATCCACTCAATGCCCTCACGTCTGTACTCATCCTGCTCGGACTTGAGCGTCAGCTCAATGAACAGTTGCTGCAGCTTCTCATTGCAGAAGTTGATGCAGAACTGCTCGAAGTTATTTCTCTTAAAGATCTCAAAGCCATATATATCCAAAATGCCCATCACATTATTCCTTGCGCCGCGCGTCTCCTTCGCCTGCAGCGAAATGTTCAGGCGCTGCACCAGCCAGGAGAACAGACGATCATAGACGGCCTTGGCCAGCGCATCTCGGGCATAAATGGCCAGCTCGTGGTTCAGCGGCGAGGTGACCACATCGCCACGTGCATCAATGGTGCGATGAGTCAGCGCTGCGCCCAGTTCGCTGGCATTGACGCCCAGCAGGCGGGAGACTGTGACCACCAGATCACGACTGTTCACCTGGGCATTGCCCTCCACCTCGTTGAAGGCGATGTTGCCCAGATGCAGTATGCTAGCCACAATGGCGAAGATCTCGCGCTGCTCCTCCGCGCTGAAGTCAATCACGCTCAATGCCTGCTGCACCTGCTTGAAGTTGTCCGCATCGTTGATGCTCCCCACGCTGCCCTTGACCTATTCCAAACGAAGCCAGTTAGTTGGGGCAGCCTCAAGTGTGTGCTTCAAATATAACTTACCCCATCCGTCAGGTAGTTATAACTGTCCAGAGTACGCTCCAGATGCAGCTCCTGCAGCAGAGTGGCGTCTGCGCCCGCCAGCAGCTGATAGAAGATGTGGAAGTTACGCTCCCCACCCATCTGGGCCACCACGCGCGACTTCTCCAGCAGATAGTTGAGAATGTTGCCACCAATGGGCGCGCCTTTGTAGTCAAACTGGATGTCCATGTACTTGCCAAAGCGGGAGGAGTTGTCATTGCGGTTCGTCTTGGCATTACCGAAAGCCTCCAGCACGGGATTGCTCTTGAGCAGCTTATCCTTGACGCCCTCCACGGTGGTCTGATGGCCGGAACAGGCGGCAATATACTGCAGCACCTTCTTGGAGGCCTCCGTCTTGCCGGAGCCACTCTCGCCCGAAATGAGCACGCACTGGCCGCGATTCTCCTCGATCAGCGAGCGGAACGCGTTGTCCGTCACGGCAAAGCTAAAGATGGAGCCAACTATTAGAAAACATACAGAGAGAGATCGGAAGATTTCGGACTTACATATGCGGTGGCATCTCATAGAAGTGTTTATTGCGATACTCCTTGATGTGGGCATCGGAGTAGATGGGCAGCTGCTTGTAGGGATTCACCGAGATCAGCACCTGGCCAATGTAGGTCTGTAATGAAGATTGACAGATTTAGTTTAATAGGAATAATGCAAGCTGTGGGCAAGAGGAATGCATGAAAGGCCTTACACAGATCCAGCATCCGGTCTAAAAATTGTGTACAATATTTTAGAGCAATGGATGCGTGGAAAGAGACAAGAAATAGAGACAGAGACAGAGACAGAAATTGAGATTGAAATTGTGACAGACAGAAAACAGAGCTGGGAAAATCAAAAGAATATTGTGCACTTACATAGATGAGGTTCTCCTGAAAACGCTTCTTCAGATTGCCAATGAATGCATCCTCGCTTTCGTAGTTCTCGAGCAGCACGAAATCCTGTACGCCCGCACGATCGCGTTCGTGCAAACCCGTCTCCATGTTGGGTAAAGGTTTAAAGCTATATATACGTGGAGAAAAGTCACGACCACAAGATCAGTTAAGTTTTATTTCATTTTATTTCTAGTATCGATAAGCATATGTAAATTTCTGTAGAAACATTTCAAGTACACACACAATCGACCCTCGCGCCAGTTTCCAGCTAAACAACTTGAGGGCTTTAATCGTCAGGTATTGGCTCGTTCGGTAAAAACCGATTGTAAAAACCTCTTAACCAATTGATAAGATTTTTTTTATGTGTAGAGAATTTATGGCTTTTCAAACCATAAGGAAACCATACTAAAATCAGAAGTAGATACATATATATATATATATCGATAGATCCAGAATTGGGCATATAAGAAGCATGCATTATGCATGAAAGAAACCCGCACGTTATAATTAATGAAAGCATTCGCGATGTTTATTAATAGATATGAACGTTGGGCAGGTGCAATTCGCATTCTCTGCTTATCGATGTCATATATCATATCACTGGAAATGCCTGGGTTATTGGGAACACTCTCTCATATCGTAGCCAACAAATCCAAAGGCGTCGATTACGCAATGACATTATTATATTGTTTGCCAATGTCGGATTATGCGGAGTATAAATTGAATTAGTTGCAGGATAGCTGCGGGCGGAAATTGTTAAACAAAGTCCAATATTGATGGCATGATGTAAGCACTTGAAAGTTTTCATTTTTATTCAGACAAAACACATTAGAACAAGGGCCAATTATTGGCCCAGATAACGCTATACCTGGCCATTGTGTTTGCTTATGATTTATCCTTGTTGATTGACTTAACACTGATCGCTATCAGTTTTCGCACATACTATTCTGCACATCAACGACTGCGTTGGCAAACTAACACGATCCGGAGTTGGCAATAGCGTTTTAACCATCAATATAAAATTGTTGGCTGTTGGCCCGGTTGTTTGCCAGTTATCAGCTTTGGGTTAGGCTGCACGGAGAGCACTTCCCAAGAGCCGCAATGGCCCAATCGGCCGCGATTAGATAGTGCGTTAGGTCTCCGCTCGCATTCACGCAAATGCCGCCTGTACCTGGCCCGTATATGCCATATACACGATATACACTATATATACAGACGATGCGCCGACAGATGACTCAGAATAAGACAGAATGATGAGTTCTAATCAAACGCGCTCGCTTTGTGATAATATGTTTAAAAATAAGCTTTAGTTTCTATTCACTGTGATCCCCATACGCCGGAGTTCTACGTGTTACTGGCAAATTTCTGTTACGATCTGTGCTAAATTTTTCAAGAACTCTGAACCCCACAGCAAGTCATTAGTTTTGTTGCCAGTTGCAGCTTTAGGCGCCATCCGAGAATTGCAGCTCGGCATTCGGTCCATTTAGTATCGCTCTCTTATCAGCTATTGAGTGCACACATACTTATGCCCTTCCAGAGGGTCTTATAGCTGTGTCATTGAATGTGTAACACATGCGAGACGATAGCTGCAACCTTGAGACAAAGGAGAATCTCTGTCCTTAAAGCTATCTTCTGTTGCAGGCAGTATAATATCGTGAAAGTGAATGAATCGGACTACTATATTATATATAGAAATTAATGATATCTTTATCTATTTCTGATCAAGAGCTGCAGTATATCCTTTTCAAAGTCCGTAAGTCCGTTAGTCTAAAAGGGTATTCAGTGTTCGGCCTGCACTTCATTCTTATTGTGTTCTACATTCGATTTGTTCAATGCCGCTTTTGTTTCGCAGAGAAATTAGTTGAAAAATGTGACGAAGCGGTTTGCACTTGTTACTAATTACACAATGTGCCCGAGGTGCGACAGATATTCCATATTCAATGTTCCATATTCCCTAACCATGCCCTCATCCATGTCTACGTCCAAGTCCATGCCCATGCACAACTGCAGCAATAAAAATGATCTATTTGTCACATATTTTGTTTGCTGCACGTAATTGTCGTAGCTCCGATAAAAGACAGTATACAGAAATTCATATATATTCATATAATTCAGTTTTGCAACCTTTTTTATGAAGATTTTAACAAAAATCTAGCACAAATCGTACTTGTAATTTTAGACTGTTTTAAGCCCAAAATTAAGTACAAGGAACTTTATTCTGCTATGTGCAGAAAAATCTAAGAAGCAAGATGGCATAACCAGACCTGGTTTTTTTCTGCTGAAGAACTCGCACTCGAAATATCACAAAGTACCTCATGATTCTACTGCAAAGTCTCGTAATTCTAAATATTATCATTTCAATTATTGCTTGATTCTTGCAAATTGTGTAGCTGCCTAAAGTTATGCCGCACTTTTGCCTTGGAGTTTTTGAAGTCATTGACACTCGTTTGGGTTTTATATGTTTTCTTTACTTGGGCCGGGTAACACCTTAATGTGCACAATTCTTTCAACACCCGAGAGCTCCTTACGCAAATGGTGTCAAGAACTTTGGACTGGTTTGTGCTGTGCTTTACAAAGCTGGCCCATTAATCTGGTATTGACCTCAGTGGGAAAACTAAGCGGCGGGGGGGTCAAAATGATGATAGACAAATGTTGAAACTGCCCAAAACCAGTCAAGAAACTGAGCTGAAAGGGTCCAAACGAGAATCGACAAATGACGTAATATCTCAAGCGACACCCAGACACGATTATCGGCTATTGAACTCTTTCTCTCTGCCCAATGCTCGGAGCTGAGATCGTCACCGATCGCCCAGCAGAGATTACTAAATGCATTCAGCTCCAAATTGGCTGGACACAAAAGACATCTAAGAATATTCAACAATTCTTATGCAAATTAAGCACTGATCTTATTAGCCACGAATGCTTAAGAACAATCCAGAGGTAGCTCGCCTCGCCACAACGAAGATGTAATACCCTTAGAAATAGATTTCTGATAAACAGATAAATATTCCATTTTTTTCGACCGATTTTCCCTATAGAACTTAATTATATAGTGATCCGATCAGGCCAACTTCAACTCAGCTATGAATACATATTAATATAATGCATATATTAAGTTGGAATCCTTCCTGATGGAATTAAACCGGCGACCGACGTTTAGCCAACTAACCCACACAGGCTCTACAACTTATGATACCCTACGAGAAACAGACGAAAGAAAGCAGCTGGTGACAATTGGTGTGTAGCTTCAAATTGGGGTCTGCTCGATGGGAAAATGGAAATGGATGCATCGAATATTCTAATGAGAAAACCGTTAGCATAGAAAAGCGATAAAAGATGCACTTTGCAGCTGCCGCAGGTTCACGGAGTGCCTATATAAAGGTCGTCCGGCTGCATTTGCAGCATATTCATGAACCGACCATGGAACACAGAGCATCAATACTCTGGATAGGTGAGTATGAGGCGCAGACTGGACGCGGTGGCTGTCATCAATTTGTTGAACTCTTGCGCAACTCCTTTGCAGTGCTGCTCTCGTTGCTGAGCCGAGCGCTCACCTACCAGGAGAAGGCGTCGCCAAGCCAGGCTCAGGCGCGTGGCGAGAACCTGCAGCAGACACAGCAGCAGGTCCTGGGTGGCAGAGGCAGTGGCAGCGGCAGCGTTGGCGTTGGCGTTGATACGGAAACGGTGGGATCGACACGTAACATCGAAGATCATCTGTTGACATCGATGGGTAAGGCTGGCTTCAAACACTTTGTGGGCTCCAGCTCGACGACTACAGCCAAACCGCCAGTACAACATCAACACCATTACTATTATACTTCAGAGGGCAGCGAGCATCCTCGCCAGCATGGGCCAGTATTACCGCCAGGAGTTTATCCGTGGCCCGGTTATCCTCAAGTACCACCGCAGCGTCCCTGGGCGCCGCCATATAATCCTTGGCCCTATGGCTGGGGTCACTGGGGTGGTGGTGGAGGTGGTGGTGGTGGCGGTGGCGGTGGTGGTGGTGGAGGTGGTGGTGGTGGTTATCCTGGCTATCCCGGCAATCCTGGCTATCCTGGCTATCCCGGCAATCCTGGCAATCCTGGTTATCCCGGCTATCCTGGCTATCCTGGTCCTGGTTCCGGTGGTCCTGGCTATCCTGGTTATCCATATCCCGGCTATCCACGCTATCCCCACTATCCTGGCTATCCCCATTATCCTGGTTACCCGGGTTATCCTGGCTACCCTGGCTATCCAGGCTATCCATGGTATCGCTCCACGGAAAACGAAGAACTCGACGAGAACGCAGTGCAGCCAGAGCTCGCACAACGCTCCATTCCCGGCAGCTATCAGGCACGTGTCTTGGCCTCCACGAGCAACCTCGTCGCTGGCAAGTCCAACAACAATGTTTGGCCGCTCTATCACCTGCTCAATGTGGCCCGGGTCTAGCCCAAGTCCATCTAAACGACCGAGAACTTGAACGCAAATAAAAATAATTTGATACATTCCAAAATATTTTCTCATTCTAAGCTCGAATACATTGGTGTAAGCGAAGACATTGAAATCTGCCAGTTATATAGAATAACAAAGCAAGATTCCGGCGTGTTTATTCAACAATTCCCAAGGGTTAGCCACAAAGTTCTTGTCGGCATCTCGAAAATATGCATAATAACAAATCGATATGGCCGAGCCGGCATGTGCTGCGGCCTTCCAGCGTCAATGGCCCCCACTTGGCGATCATTGAATCGCTTCGCTCCACTCCGCTCCGCTCCGCCCCGCACTGCCACGCACTGCTCTGCTCTGGATGATCATTAAGTTTTCGGCTCTCGAATTAAAAAACCGAAACGCCTTCATTCAACCGCGAGCCGGCGATGAATGCAAAAAAGACGGGATACAATCTCGAGCTGCTGACTCATATTTGTCCAGTGATCGGCGCGACTGACGCATACGAGTTTTGGATCAAATACAAAAAAAAAAAAACTGATTTCAAACATATTTTGCCAGCTATTCAACTGGCTGGTGACTGATCTTTCACGCAAATTCAATGGCGAAAAAAAGCTGTTTAAGAAATGAAATGTACAACCGTTTCGCATTTACCTTTTTTTTTTTACGGCCCAGACGTTTTGTCTTTATACACGAATATAGGCGAGTAATCCGATTCGCAATGTATTTTTATTTTCGTACTCTTTACAAACTTCCACAAAAAAAACCCTTAGTTGACACTTTGGCACTTGGCGTCTCGCCGTTTCGGTAATCGTGAGCCCCGGGCAGCACACGTTCTCGCTCGACCGACCGCCGTTTCAACAATGGATCGCCAGTTCTTGAAGTCAAAAAGTGTCGAAAAAATAATATATTGTAATGGCTGGAAGTGCTGTGCAGCTGTGTGTATTATATTGCCTGTGCCTGGGGCAATCAAAACTTATGATAGCTGCGGGTTTTTTTTTTTTTATTGATCAGTAAGACACTTTGAAAATATTAGTTTAGTTTTTACTACAGTTCTGGTTTTCCAAATCTATTATTCCAATATATTTTTTTTTTAATTTAATGGATCTCACTTTCGGTTTTAATTGCGGAGTTGCAAAGATAAGCTGTCAAGTGGAGTAAGACACGTTTTTTCTATAGGGTATACGATTTGTCGCGCTGACCTCGATCACGAACACGTTCGTATCTGTTGGCACAGCTTAAGGCCTGACTCATTATGTTATACAGGCCCCATGCACTATCTTATCAGATGTTTGCTCGAGTAAAAGAAAACCCAAAGCCGTAAAATGCAATTTCTCAAGTACTTTGATTAAGCAAAGAATGGTACATACAAAATGCGGCGGAACAGGCTTTCAAATATGCATTTTATACGTGCAAGGCACCCTGTATGAAAAGCCTATCCTCTCTTCATATTAAAGAACGATCTAAGCTGTGTGGCGTAATTTGTAATTTGATTTGAATAAACAAAGAAATTTACAATGGTGCAGAGGACCCTGTACATTATTTTGTATATACTAGGCACTCTGTATGAGTAGCACCTTCTCAAGAAAAAGAAGCTACCTCGCTATAAAAGAACAATCAAAGCTGTTAGGATGATTTGAATAAACAAAGAATTTCACAATAGTGCATAAGACCCTGTACATACAAAATGCTGCGAACCAGCCTTTTATATGTGAAAGGCACCCTGTATGAAAAAATCATTCTCTATAAAAAGAATAATCAAAGCTATTAGAAGCAGCTTTTCGAGTGCATTGAATAAACAAAGAATATTACAATTACGCAGAGGACCCTGTATGTATATGTGCGTGGCACCCTGTAGAAAAGGCACCATTCCGAACCAAAGAGACCTTCTCGTTATCAAGAACATTTTAGTGGAAGTTGCCAATAGATAATGCAGCGTTTTGTCGATAAGTGGACGCTTAACTTGCTGTTTCGACCATAAAATAGCAAATTTGTAGCTCATAATAAACACAAATCGACATCTGATAAATCGAAGACACCTACCACCCCCCCCCCCCCCTTCCCCCCCCGCACAGATACAGACACGCAAACACAGGTGAGTGGCGCACATGACAAGGCTCGTTAATAATAAAGTCCCTGTGCGGCATTATCGCAATTAACCAAACTAAAATGCGTGCAATTTTGAGGGCTCGCTTTAAAAGACAGCTTCTGTTGCTTTATTTGTGACTTCTTTTTTGTTTTTGTTATGGGCCTTGCTCATTGTTCAGATATCTATGCAAGCATTACATCATTTCCATTAGAAGCGCTGGCCACAAACTGACTTCGGCTTCTGTGCTTCGCTCGGCTCAAGGTGAAGCTCCATGGAACCAAAAGGGGGGAGCATATACATATGTGTGTGTGTCTTTGTGTGTGCACAACTGTGCTGGCATATATAATATTTGGCAAACAATGGAAAGAGGAGGGACGGATGGAGTCGGGGGCAGTACTTGACTAACCAGACGATCGCTTTGGACTGAAGCTAAGCGGCTTAGCGTCTTGTTGCCACAAAAAAGACACACACAATTGAAAAATGGGTCAAATCAATAGACGCCATTGAAATTGAAATTGAAATGAAATTCGATACATTTTCAATTGGGCGCTGATAACAAGAGCAGGGCGGGGCACAAACATGCCCATACGTAATTACATTATTATGTATGTTAGATTACAAATGACTTGTTTAGATACAAATATATATACGAGTATATATATATAAATATTATATATATATACATATATCTTAAATAAATGACTCACTGGCCGCTGATAAACACAGCGCCTAAACGATAATTGACATTTTAACTAACGCTTTGTTTTGGAATGAAAGAACGCATTAAGAAACAAGTCTCTGGCTCTTACAGGTTCTGAGATACTTGCGGACAGACGGACATGTCTAGATCGACTTGGCTATTGTTGCTGATCAGGAAACTATATTAGTTTATGGGGTCGGAGTTGGGTTCCGGGTATAAAAATCGAACTTAAAGTAGGAATATATGCTGGTCAAGGTTTCTATGATAAACATTAACAACAAGTCAGGTGCATCTGACTAACAAATGGGAGAAGTGAACGCTTCCTCAGCATCAATTTCAGGTATCAAGCTGCCGAGCAGACACAGGGCAGCATCTATAAAGGAGCATAATCATTTGACCCATATGAAGCCAGATAATTTCTAGCATATCTTGTCATATATATATATTATGCATGTATATATCTGTTGAGTTGACCCGCTTTGTTGGTGTTTGTTCCTGCTGTAAAAACTAAGCAAACAATATTAAACAAAGCGGACAAAGAGAGGCGCAACCACAGCGGAAAGCGTGGATGGGTGCAAAAGGAAGTGTCCAGGAAGCGAAGCAGTCGCCTAAAAGCAAATGCAGAGATAGTTTGCGCCCGAGGTTAAGGTGTTGCGGCCACCAAGCAACAAACCAAGAAACTACCACCACGAGCAGCAGCCGTCGGCACATGGCCGTAAATGCCGCTTTATTAGAGGCACATAAACATAAACCAGATTTGTGCCTGTTGTCGTTTAGTGTCCAAGTTCAAATTGTGCAAAGGAAAGAAAGTCGTGCTGCCAGCGAGAGACAGACGGATCGCGACCTGGGCAAACCGGCAGAACAGCTTTTTGCTGCGATCTTTTTTGTGTGTTGGTGTCTTCTTCACAGCTTGCCGCACATTTGTTAGACTCAGGATAACCCAAAAAAAGAGCCCGTTTCAGGCATTCACATATGCAAAAATTGTAGCTCCGATTAGTTTGACGGCCGCTCGCTCAATCATGTTGCAGCCGCGCACATCCGTAATGGCTAATTAGCTGCGGCGGCAACTGTCGCCGATAAGAAGTTGGGCAGTCAATAAATATGTGGGCACGTTTATAATAAATGAAAGCAAGTACATAATTTCACTCACAGTCTGTTTGAATTTCTTTTTCGATCGTTTACCGTTAGCTTGACCCGCCGCTGTCAGCAGCAGCAGAGCAGCAGCAGCGACACTCAAAAAATTATAAAACAATCGAATAGACACTTGTTGCTTCTATGGCCGCGACACTTGTTATGTGCTAGATATTTTTTTGTTTGGCTTTGGCACGCGCTTAGCATTTAGATTGACATACAGCCAAAAAAAAAGTTCTTGAATAATTTATACCTTGTTTATAAGCAAAGCCCGACGGCGACAGCAAACGCACCTTGCAAAAGTTAAAACCTAACTGAATCGCGGCGCTCGTTTGCCGCCACATTTCGCATAGCTCACCGGGCAACAACAACAAACGCGCTGAGCGATAGCGATGTGCATTTGTGCTTATTAATCGTGTATCGCTTATCGATTATTTAGTGATTTATTTAAATGCGACAACTCCGGCTAAATAAAAAGTGATCAAAGCAAGGCACTTGAACGATATGGCACCATTAACATATGAAATTTTAAAATGTGCCCGTTAAACTATTTAATCGTTACTTGAACATGTGCACCTATTGTTATTCACTTTTATTGTTTATTCACCAAATTTAATTATATGTAACAATATGCTAAAAACTTTTACTAAAGCTACAAAACACAATAAGTTTCCAGTTGATTTAATCCCTGAAAAAAAACTGTGGTTTATATTTTCTTTTTAACTTATAATCCAAGGCAAATGCGAAATGTGTTTTAGAAATTGTCGAAAATAATATCTGCACTCAACAACGCTTAGATGAAATGATTAGATCAGACTAAAGCCCTGAGTTTGCTGTATGGCTTGCAGCAGCTTATACTTAAGTCGTTCCTTGGTCTTATATCGTGGCAGGTCTAGCAGATTGAAGCACGTGTGTGCAACGGGCAGGAAACGTTCATCGGGTGTGGGTTGTATTACGATCTAAACGGAAAGGTTAGAGGGCAATAATTGTAATGCTTTAAACAAATAATTTACCTTGATGGCCTTCATGCCCTGTATGGGAATCCGATCACTGCCCGTCAAATAGAGCAGGAACTTTTTCTTCTCCGCAAGGGACAGTTCGTGGAACACTTCCCAAAACCATTTGACCTAAGACAAAAAGAAAATTACATTCACTTCACACGATGTTTTCTTGGCTGATAGAATTACCGTTTCATCACCGGACATATAGCCCTCCTTGTATTCGCAATTA